CTTTTTTTGTGATGGGTGTTTTTGAGATAGGGTCTCAGGAACTATTTGCCTGGGCTGGCTTTGAACCACAATCCTCCTGATCTCTGCCTCCTGAGTCATGAGTTGTGAGACACTGGCACCCAGCTTCCAGGCAACTTTTACTTCCCTCTAGAATTCATACTGACCAGTGCCTCAGATTGTTGTAGGAGTTGCATAGTTTTATTCTTGTTCCATGGGTTGAGAGTGTTGGGCAATCTCTTGGTTACAAAGCACAATATTAAATATCTCATAAATTTTATATTTTAGGTACTTAAAGTATATTGCCCTATATAATAAATATGCAAGTCAAAAATCTGTCCTTTATCCCTTGAGATCAATAATACACAAATAGTTCTGTATAGTAACAATCTTCTCTCCTTGGAGGACAAAGTCAGGGTTCTCTTTACGCCTGACTTGAGATGCTCCTAAATTTTTTCAATAACCACTTTGGTTTTAGTCACAATGGGTAATTGCTGTTTTGTCAAAGAGTTTTCCATATAGAATTAGGAATACTAGACTTTGGAATCAGACAAATCTGGGATAGAATTTGAGCTCTAACATTTAAGTTGAGTGAACTTTGGGAACTTACATTTAACCTCTGTGAAACTCATTTTCCTCATTTGTGAACTTGGGTCATTAAAAACACCCACTTCGTAGGGCTGCTTCAAGTATTAAAAAAGTGTACATACAGCCCCTGGAGCACAGTGAACATTTGCCAGTGTTGGATTTGGCTGTGTTTTATGACCATAGTTCTGAACATCACATCATCATCAGAGGTGGTCATTGAACTAAAAATATGGCCTTCTTCACATTTGAAAACCACTGTCTCTACATAATTTCTCATCCTCTGGGTGGCTAGTCCGTTACATGTCAAAAGGTTCTTTGCAAGCAGTATGAGAAGGCCAGCCCCAAAGCACAAGTGCTTGCCAGGGCTCTGCTGTGCCATACTTGTTAATGTTCCATTGGCCAAAGCAAGTCACCTGGCTAAGAGCAGCTTCAGGAAAAGAGTAATGAACACCACCTCTTGATCCCAATTAGCTAAACTTCATGGCCATTTTTTCCCAGTCTATGGCAAATACCAAATAATAAATAGATTCCCCTTTTATTGAGGAAAAAAAATCTTCTTTATACTAAAGAATATGTTGATACTAAAGCTATGTTAAGTAAACACTTCATCATTTCTAAGCCCTCAGAGTTGGCTTAGATAAGCTTTTTGTTCCCATTGATAGCTGAAAATATTTGACATTCGAGAGTTTAAATGCCATGCCTGAAATTACCATATGAATAAGACTAGATTTTGAAGTCTTCTGATTCAGAATAATAGATCTTCCCAAAGTACTGGATTTGGCTTATTAAATTGCTCTCTTTTTAAGCCAGATATGGTGGTGTATGCTGGCAATCCCAGCTACTGCGAGAGGTGTGGGCAGGAGGATCTCTGTTGGAGTCTAGCTTCAGGCAAAAACGTGAGACACTCTGAAAAATAGCTAAAGGAAGACAGGGCTAGGTGTGCAATTCTAGTGGCAGAGTGCCTGCCTAGTTCTTTTGCATGAGGCCTCAAGTTCAAACCCCAGTACCACACACACACACACACACACTTACTCTCTTTTTGAATTGGAGAGAATTTAGTTCTACTACTTTATTTTTCATTATGACCCAGTGGCTATTAATTTTTCTGCCAACTTGGTCTCTGTATTTAAAAAGATACAAGAATAGTTCATTAACAAAATAGGGGATGTCCCTTCTCTGTTGAGAGACATGCTAGCCTCAATTGTTCTACCTTTTTAGAACATGGTAACTCACTTCCCTTCCTGGGCTGCATGTGTTGTGAGGCTGATCTGTTTGTGACATGGTTAAATGGGCTCTTGTCATCACTAATCGGAACCTCCCTTTCTGTTTCACTGAATCACTTACTGTCCTAGAGTAGAAATCTGAATAAACAGTAGTCCTGAAGTCCTGATAAGTTGCATACTTATACTTACAAGGCCATAGAAGTCAAGATCAAGGTTGTATATTGGAGCTACATAATCATAACCCAGTGTTCCATAATTGTGTTTGGAAACAATGCAATTTAAACATGCATTTCAGGTGACTTACATTCCTGCCCATTGTGCATTGATTGTTATTTATTGATTTTTTTGGGTTGAGAAGATTAACAATAACATTTATTTTTTATTATACCTATCATATACCTCATTTAATTAACACAAATACAGACTTGTAATGTCTGTATTTCATTATAGATGAGAAAACTCGGCTCCAAAAACATAGGTTACTTCCTTCAGATCTTACAGTCAAAGGGGGTGGATTCCAAACTCAGCGTGTACCCCACCTGCCCACCCTCACCTTGCTGAGCCCAAACTCAATGCATGTTTTCTTATTGTCATAATTGCCTCAGTTTACCTTTGGAATATGATGGACTTTCAATACTATTTATTTGGGATTTAGTTATATATTGAATTACACTATTATTTAACTGTTTCATAAGTTCTTATTTTCTTAGTGATATGTTAACTGTTTTTTAAGGCACCTCACCCACCAAACTGTGGAGAACCTAGAAGGCAGGCAGCAAATACTTATAGAACCAGCCCTACTTCTTAGGAATGGCTGGATCTGAGACTGTCTGCTGCAAGTGGAAGGTGATCTGTGTCTTTCATTACCTCACATAGATGCCTTTTTAATGAAAGCAGCATGGGTGCCCTGATGCCCATAGAAACCTTCAGGTTGGTTTCTCTTCCCTCCTATTTAGGTTTCCCCAAAGTATATCCACTCACATTTACACTCACCTGCAATTATTTGGCTCCATATAGACATTTTAAAATAGCTAATATGCACCATAGTACGGCATTTAACTGAAGGTCTGTGAAGGTCAGGCCTCTTCGTAGGCCTGAAGTGAAGGTGTGGGCAATTTCTAATAGCCACAGGAAGGAATGAGTTGGTCAGCAGTGCACCATCCATCCCCAGCCCCGCACACTTGGCTCCTTTCCTTACTGTTAGTGCCTTGTGCATCTTCTTAGCTCAGCATCCCAATCGTATGTTCTATTTTGAGATTACGTAGTCTTCAATTTAGTTACCACGTGATGTACAATGTTTTAGTTCTACTACGTTTGCAAATTCTCATTTTCTTTCACTAAAATTTATTTTCATATAGCCAGGAAGTGTCAGTATCTCACCACTCTCCTTCTATTCTTATCTTTTTCTTTTGCAGTACTGGGGTTTGAACTCAGGGCTTTGCGCTCGCTAGGCAAAGTAGATGCTCTACTGCTTGAGCCATGCCTCCAGCCCTTTTTGCTCTGGTTGTTTTGGAGATGGGATCTTCCTTTTTGTTCAGGCTGGCATGAACCCCATCCTCTTATGTATGGTTCTCGCATAGCTGGGATAAGAACATATCACCACACCCAGCTATTGGTCGGGACGGGGTCTTGATAACTTTTTGTGCTAGCTGGCCTCAAACTGCAGTCTTGCCAACCTCAGACTCCCAAGTAGTTAGGATCACAGATGTGAACTACCGGTGCCCAAGTCATCTGTTCCTTCTAACATTACTGGTGCTGCTCTAGGAGTTGGGCCCTTTGTAGGTGTGGAATCTTGTGTTTGCAAGCACTGTGCTTCATGCTGGGGATGTTATAGAATAAGCAAAATATGTGTGCTTATTCTTACAACAGACTCTTGGGGATAGTGCTTCAAAGGAAGAGCTACATGGTTGAGCCAGGTGGCTAGAATCAAGACAGTAGATCTGGGAGCTTTGCTGGAAAGGAACTCTGAAACTGAGATCTGAAGTAGAGGACAGCTGACAATTCACAGAGATGAAAGTCAACTGGCAGGGCAATTAAGGCACAGTGTGACACCTGCCTTCATACAGTATGAAGAGTAGAGGAAAATGACAGGATTTAGTGAGGGGACTTTACATTGCCTGAGGAAATCAGGGAGGACATTCCTGGAGAGAGTCAACTAAACTCAAGCAGGAGAGATATGTAGAAATTATGCAAAGAAAAGGAAAGGGAGAGAAGGCGTGGGAGACTGTGGAAGGCCAACTAATGCCAATACACCAGAAGGAGGCCATCCAGCTGGAGGGAATGAAGGAGCAGACAGGACCCACACCTGGGCGATCTTTCTGGTCATGTAACGTAACATCTTGCACTCAGGGATAGTCTTTGCTTGTCGTTGCACACAAAGCAATTATTTTGGGGTAGAAACTTTCCCCAGCAACCTCAAAAATAAAACACATTTTGCAGTCCAACTAACGTGTACACACCAATGAAAGAAAATTATGGGAAACATACTCTCCACCAGTCATGCTGGCAGCAGGTTGGTAGACTAAGTTGGAACTCAGAATGAATGAAACCTGCATATCATGGAACTGACTCTGTAGGAGAGTTGTCTCTTTTCATATCCTCACTGCATTCCCCCCTTTCTTTTCATGTTTAGTTTCCTGAAGGTGATGTGGGCACTCCTGCCTTGTGAACTCCTTCAGATCTAGAGAACTTATCTTGCTCCCTTTCCCATCTGACTTTTATCGTCTTTAGTCAGGCACTTCAATAAAAGTAGTCTTCAAAGAAAATGAACCTAACAAATTTAAATTGGAGAACCTATGTTTTTCCTTTTTGCTTCTCTCAATTTCTCATAGTGAATAGCAATCAGTGATAGGTAACTGGCGGATGGAGTTCCCAGAGGCCTAGTGTGGATTTCATCTAATAGCCTGACAACCTTGATTGTCTCTAACTGGAGAGATGAGATTTCTCTCCCCTCCGCCCTACAGCAAATTACATTCCATGCCTGTTAGCTGTACAAAAATAAGATTTCTATGGGCAATCACTACTTCATTTTGTAAATTTTTTCATTTTGGGCAGATATCATAATTATGCTCCTTTATCATCATGGAAGAAAAAAACTTAAGAAAAGAATTATTATTTAGTTGACATAAATGGTATTAAAGAATGGACTTCTTATAACAATGAGTTTTCATGCTGACTATTGTTCTAATATAGGATGAAGAGGAAGAAATCAAGCAAGAAATTAACATGTTGAAGAAATACTCTCATCACCGAAATATTGCTACATACTATGGTGCTTTTATCAAAAAGAATCCTCCAGGCATGGATGACCAACTTTGGGTATGTAGCACTGTTCAGTATTTCTTCTGTTATATGAAGAAATTCAGCACTGAATGGTTCATTTCTCCATTCTCATGACTAGACTTGATTAAGTAACTTCAAATTTGAAACTCTTAGCTCCCATGGTTTCTATAACAGTGTGTTTTCAAGATTTTCTTCCATTTCCTTGAACACCTCTCCATCTTTTCAGTGCTCTAAATCTTTTTTCTATCTCTTAATATGGACAATCTTCAAAGACAATTGTTAATTCTTCCTTTCTACCCACTAAGTGACAATCCTTCATTGCATTTTTATTAAAGTGTAGACATCATGCTATTTACTGTGTGTGAATCATATCAAATTATTCCAATTAATTGAGGTTATTTTCATTTCCTGAAAGATGACACTAAGGTTTGTGGGGATGAGTAAACTGTTGCAAGATCTATGTACCTAGCAATGGTGGAACTAGGATCTAACCGAGCTCTACATTCTTTCTCCTTAGGTATCACTAGTGTGTGGATAACTCTGAAATATAAATTCCAATTCTATAAGTAAAATACCTAACACAGTGTCTGATACCATTGTATGGACTCTGCAAAGGTTATTTTCCTTTTCTGCATACCTTGTCCCTGTTGGCTATGTGCCCTAATCCTATATCTTTGCAGTCTATAAGGGAGCTCTTATTGACTGTCCACCAATAATATCAGTGTGTTTAGTACTAAAATCACTACCCCTTTTCCCAGCTGTGCCCAGTACAGATCGCCTTCTGTCACTGGAACTTTTATTTATTTAGTTCATCCTCAGGCTTATAATGCTATCTTGGCTTAACCTTCCCTTGACAATTTTATAATCACCCTCCTTACAGAGGCCTGTTCAGGGTGCAGTAGCCTCTACTTGATCTACTTCTGTCTGTCAATTAAATCTCTGTTCACCCACTGATACTGTTGGATTAATGGCTCTGAAAATGCCCCTTTAGCCCTTTATTGTCTAGTTCATCTTCCAGAGGTCTTGGTATGTATCTAACACACAAAATTCAGTGAATGCCAAAGTCTGTTCTAAACTATGTAGTTCCAGTGACTAGCCACACATGGATAATTCTGAAAGACCTCAGCCTTGGTTGGAAGTTACTCTTTTAATGAATGTGACGCATGCCATCCAGCTAAGAAGACAAGACACATCCAGTGAATGCAGTTGATGATCAAAAATGATATGTTAATAGTTCAAAAACCAACAAGATTTTCATGTAATTTGATATTGAATGCTCTATCTTTGGAAGTGAAAAGAACTGTTGGGAATGTTTTTTCATATAAGACTCATCTCTAGATTTAAAATAAAAATATACTTTGGGTTAATCCATTTTGAATGATGATACGGACTTTATATTTTTTATGATTTCTGAAAATGTTACATTGGATTTTAATTGTGGTCTCTAAATGTAGTAGAAGTAAATGTGAAGATTTAAAAATGTAAAAGTAGTACAAGAAAATAAATGTGACTGTATAATCCTAAAGAAGAAATACATGACATCACAAGCTATAACAGAATTTTGATAGACTTAGCTATATTAATTTTTAAAAATCCTCATTGCCAAAAATATTTTTTACTTGGCAAACAAAATATAATAATCTTCAAAGATGAAGAATTTTTATAAATCAATAGAAAAACATAGAGAGCTACTAACAGAGATTAAGTTAAGGACAAGGCAGTGACTAAAGTAAGAAATATCAGCTACTGATAAAGATGTTTTTAAATGTTATTCTTTCTAAAAATATAAATTTAAAAATTCATAAAAATTCAATACCATTTCTTGCCTAATAGATTGGAATTTTTTTTTTGTAGTACCAGGTCTTGAACACAGGGCCTTCACCTTGAGCCACTCTACCAGCTCTTTTTTGTAAAGCATTTTTTCAGGATAAAGGCTCATGGAACTCTGCTCAGGCTGGCTTCGAACCATGATCCTTCTGATCTCTGCCTCCTGAGTAGCTAGGATTACAGGCGTGAGCCACCGGCACCCGGTGGAAAAAAAATTTTAATAATAAAACTCAGAATGGGCACTCCTCCTTTGCTCATGGAAATGGATGTTGGTACAACTTATCCAAAAGCAACTGAAATACACAAATGTGTGTACATACATATACATATGTTTGTGTGCATATGCATACACATGCATTCCAAAGAAAGTGCCTTTTTGAACTAGAATTTCCTCAAACAGAAATATATTCCAAATAAATATTTGGATTACTTCATAAAGATGGATGTAGAAGTTAATTAATAGGAGGTCATTTAAGGTACTCTAGACAGATGTTGAAGTTGATACAGATGTATTCTTATAAGTGGACGAATGTAATTATTAGAGTGAGGTTTTAAGTCCTTCTTTAGAGGTTACAATGAGAAATAGTAATTTCTCATTTTTATTAAATAAGAAAGAAAGGGAAACTATATGTATATACATATATTGATATAGTTGGAATAATACACAGTAATGATGTTGAAAATATTTATTTCTGGATAGTAACTTTAGTAATTTAATTTTAAAAACATTTTTATCCTCATACTCTAGTCTTTCTCTTGAGTTCATTATCTAAACCACTTGTTCTTCTTTTTTTTTTTTTAATTGCCTCTTGCCAGACTCTCCTAGCTCCTCATTAAGACAACCATCTCTCTGAGGACAAGGATTGGACCTTTTGTGTCTGTCCTTGGCACTTGGAAGGTACCAGGCAACATCAGGTGACAAAACCATTTGCTTGTGAATGAAAAATGCTATCATTGATGCAAACCTGGTTGTCATAGGTATTTTCAAGAGTATAGGTTCCCTAAGATCTACAGGTTCAACAGGACATGAAGAGGTTGCATGAGCTGGAATGTCTTCGTGTTCCCAAAGGAATTCCACATTGTCAAGGATCCAGCACTTAGCAGTACCCCTGTATTGCCATGAGCTGTAGGAGATAAATCATAGAGAATGACAGCTATTCTCCCCAACCCCCAGCTAATGCCCAGCAGACTGGGGGTCCCCTTTGTACTCCCTTCAATCACCACCATCCCAAAAAGGGAATACTCTCCTGACCTTCTTTTGAGGGGTGGGGCATGCCCATGCTAGGCAAGCACTCTAGATTGAGCTACATCCCCAACCCCTATTCTGACTTTCTCGCCTAGTTTTTTGAGGTATACTTGACAAAAAGAAAAGTGTATAACGTTAGTGAGGATGTGGAGAAAAGGGAATCCTTGTACACTGTTAGTGGGAATGTCAGTTAGTACAGCCATTGTAGAAAACACTATGGCAGTCACTCAAAAAAAATCAGAAGTAGCACTACCATAAGATCTGGCAGTCCCACTTCTGGTATTGATCCAAAAGAAATTAAATCAGTATGTCCAAGAGACATCTCACCCCACATTATTCACAATAGACACAAGTGACAGCTACTTTTATGCAGTTGTGGAGAAGTTCTTCATTTGGCCAGGGCTATCGTTCCAAATTGAAAGAACATATTAAGGTAGCTTTAAACCATCTCCTAGCTTCTCACTGGAGACAATATAGCTATTTCTAGATATATTTCTAGATATATAGCTTTCTAGATGAGACAAACAGAGTGGTTGATTTTCTTGGATTTGGGTATTTATTTACAACTTGTTGGTTGAGGGAAGGAGAGGGGTAGTTAATTAGGACTTGACCCATTTTCATTTTATTCCTAACCCTTAGATTTTTTTAAGCTGGAAGGAAAATTAATTGCCATTCTTTTGCTTCATATTGATTTTTTCAGAGCTCAAAGCTCACTAATGGATGGTGTAGGACCAGAAAGTAGACATCCTAAAATGTGACAGTGTAGCTTGATTTGAAGTTCTGCGAAAGCCACTGGAGGTTTTTAAAAAATGAACACAATCTTCAGTTCATTTTCAGATTGGCATTTTGGGAAAGCAGTGAGTCTTTTTTGCGTCCTTTCTAGAGCTACCAGGAGGTTGGAGGTATCACAGAAGTGAGTCATGGCCTGCTGGTTTTCACCATTGTTCTTCCTGTAAAGCCATCATAAATGAATGTTCATTTATTTATTTATTAACCAATGAGTACATATAACAAACATTCTCTAGGTGCATGAGGTACAAAGTGTTTCTTTTAGCACTCCGGATAGATCTGTTTATGGACGAAAGTGACCTACTTTAATGCAGCATCCTTTCTTGCTGAGATCACAAACAATGAACATAAGAAATAAGAAAAGTAAAGAAAATGCTGGAGGCTGGTAAGTGCCTGTTACACCAGGAAAAGGTTAATGGGCAGTTCATATCAGGGTGCTGTGAACTGAATGTTTATCCTGCTCCCATCCCCAAATTCACATGTCGAAATCCTCACTCCAGTGTGATGGTGTTAGAAGGTTGAACATGTTTGGGATGCTGGAGGACTGAACCCAGCCTTGTGTGTGGTAAGCAAGTGTTCTACCACTGAGCTACACCTCCAATCCATGAGAGGCAAGGCTTTGGGAAGTGACTGTCATGAATGTGATAACTGCCCTGTACAAGGGACACAGAGAGCTTTTCTGCTCTCTTTAAGAAGTCTGGAGTTTGCATCCAAAAGAGGGCCCTCACCAGAGTCTGACCATACTGGTACCTTGACGAAGGACTTCCAGCCTCCAGAATTATAAGAAAAAGTTTCTGTTTATAAGCCACCCAATCTATGGTCTGTGGTGCTTTGCTATAGTGGTCTGACTGAGAAAGGCAGTGATAAGTAGAATGGTCAGGGGGAGCCCTGTTGGGGAAAACTTGAAGGCATTCCAGGCCTGCTGCTTTCTGGGAGCAACAGTGAGGCCACTGTGACTGGAAGAGTGAGTGGAAGGAGTGAGAGAGGCATGTAAGCCAGGTCATGAACATCTCTTGCATGGAGTGAGGAGGTAGCTGGAGAGCATTGAAGGTGGAGTAATGAGATCAACCCACAAAATGAAGGGGTTACTTTGATTTTTAGATTGAGAACAGACTGGATTGGGACACAGGTAGAAGCAGGGAGATCAGCTAGGAGATTGTTTTAGTAAATTAAC